ACTGACGACTCTCTGACAGACAAACTGGACACCAACACACTTGAGCAGTGCAGGCAGGTGTGGGAATACGCTGGAGGCATCGCAATGGACCTAGGTGGAAGTTCATACTTCCAACTGGTGTCCTTGTCCACAGGAAATTCAACCTTTGAAGGTGTTGGTATGTCGTTTGTCCAGACACAAGACACAAACACACTCACCACCAGAGAGTCTGGATACGGTCAAACACACACGGCCATCACAAACGCCAACCATGACCATGCAAAGAACATCACCTGCATTCTGCTCACCAAAGATAAACACACAACGTTGTTCTTCACCACTCCCCAGGACCAACTCCAGACACACAAAGCAACCTACAGCACAGAAACTGGCCACTCCGTCAGCCTAACACACTACACTAAACATACAGAGAAATACTATCCATCTTCAGAAATGGTAGGCAACTCTACACTGAAGGCGAGTTCCACATCTGGACCAGACATGCCTCTGTCAACAGATCATGTTCTCATATCTGTTGTTGCAGTTTCAGCATTGGTCGGCCTGGTCTTGTCGTCCCTTCTAGTGTTGGTGTTGAAGTTGTGCTCGAAAGGGACGAGCGAGGATGAGAGGGACAGTGACGATGCACATGTTTGGACCGTCCCGCCTGGGGTTGCTTTCCCCGGCTTGCTGAGGTCTGCTTCCCTCCCTGCACGTGGCAAGATGGCGTTGGATGCCGTAGTTTCCTGTAGGTCACTGCCCGTTGTCCTGCATTCCGTCCAGCCTACTTACAGCGAGATCCCAGATGACGTAGCTTGTGCTCAGAGGCCCCTGCCCAGTCTCCCGCACGACGACGTGATGGTCCGGTCAGCCTCCCTCCCTGCACGCACTCGCGGGAGCGCCCCAGACGATGCGGCATCCTGTAGGTCATTGCCGACTGTTCTACAGTCCATTGAACCCACCTATAGTGAGATCCCAGATCACATGGCCGCTGCGCAGCGCCCTCTGCCGGCTCTCCCGCGCACATCCTGGGAGATCACAGAACACGGAGCTGCTGCACAGCGCCCCCTGCCTGTCCCACACCATACCTACAGTGAGATCCCAGATGATGAGAGCGGCCCCATGCCTTTCTATACTGATCCTGGAGGGTTTTCGCTTCATGTTGTCAAAAACAGGGGCCAAAACAAACGGGCCTTCCGGAATGTCACAACTACTTTCAACAGACACCTGTCAGGAAGATCCATGGCCACATATGGGTCAGCTGAACAGAACAAAGCCCAGGGTGATAGCGTTTACAGAATGGCCATCGATGTCCAGGGTATAAGAGCCCGTAGAAATCTGAGGACAGGTTTGGTATCCCAGGCTATCGACCAAAGTGTGAGGACGTACGTCAACGTCACGGATGCGATTCTGTCGAGAGGTCAGGAGGTCACGGAGGCTCACATCGCCTTCCTCACATCCCCGGGTACATCCGGGACGGGGTCATGGGAGATCTCAGGGGAGGGAACCCGTAACACACCACAGCGTGCTCCCCTCCCCACCGTCACACTACCTAACACCTACTGGCCATGGGAGATCCCAGGGAAGGGAACCTCTAACACAGCACGGCGTGTGTCCCTCCCCACCGTCACACTACCTAACACCTACTGGCCATGGGAGATCCCCGGGGAGGAAACCCGTAACACACCGTAGCAAATTAACCACCATTCACCCACTACTTTCCACTTCACTTCATTTCAACCATTTTTTGGGTTTATTTCAGTGTGCAGAAATTAGTTTCTCACGGGCCAATATTTTTTTTCCAAAGAGACGAAAGCTTAATAGCTTACCATATTGAAGACAACATCTTTTGTCTCTTGAAAATCTCATTAAAACTGTCAGAGTTTCAAGTAGAATCCATCACTTTTTGTCAGTAACAAGTCGTCTTCTTAAACCTGTTTTTAAAACAGGAGCTTAAAAAAAGCTGTCGTTTGCCGGCGTGGTATTTTTGCACAGCAAAATCGTATGCAACAAATGTGTTTTTGTTAATAAAGTGATGATTAGATATTTGATTGAAATCTAGATGCACTACATAGTTATTACAAATGTAAAACTGATGGATCTAGAAGGGAAGACATTTGCTCGGGCGCAACTACAGAACATTTCAGTACATCTCCAGCCTTATTCCAAAATGGACAGTTCTATATCCACCTTTTCCATGTAGTGCTTTTCAATATGGAATGTTTCAATAACTCAATGTAGTCCTCAATAACAATACCAAATTGAATACAGTGTAAATAAACACGTAAAAGCACACAGGGACCAGTGTTTAGAAGGCCATATTCGTCTGTGGGAGACCATGTCGTTAATAATAATAACCTTTATTTTATATTCAGGTTATTATTCATTAACGACACGGTTAATATTATTTTAACAAGATTGCCACGCAATCCATAAAATGTCCATGCCACCATCTAATACGATCACAAACGCACCGATTGGTTTGTTTCAGCAAAAACAAACGGTTCACGTTCAACGACCTCTATATTACTTACTTACTAATCATTAGCTACTTCGTAAGATTTGTCTGCATATCTGGAACCATGGTTCTGCGCAGCTCTTGTAGAATAACAGTCCATAATACAGCAATCGCTATATTCATAAGCATAACAAAGAAGCTACAGGTATATACAGGCGCCGCCACAGCAAGCGGTGTAAAGCTTGTCACGTATGTCCAAAAAAATTGTTAAAACGGAAAAAAGAGGTCCTTAACTGACTGAAGGTTGGTCAATGACTACATGTTCAGATCTGTGGACCAAGTACACAAACTTCAGGTGAGTGACACGTAGCTTCTCGCATGAAAGATTAAGATACGAATGGCCAGGATGCATGCAAGGGTTAGGAGTGGCGCTAGGGAGAACGCAGCCATGTTGTTCTTGCTGCTTTTCATAGCTACCTGCACAGCTTCAGATGGCCCGGGTTCTCCTCAGTGTAAGGTAGCTGGATGGCGGGTGTGTGTGCCTCTCAATGGCAAGATGGGACAGATGAAAGTGTCCGGCACATGTGTCGTGTGTGGGGTCCAGATAGAGGGTGTTGCTCCTGTAAGCCCTTTCTCTTTCCTTGCTGGGGCCCAACATGTTGCAATAAGGGGGTATCCATTCCACGTCCTGTCGGCAAACAGCCTGACCCCGCTTGAGCATTCTGTGGTCCTCACTTTGGCCTTGTTGAATGCAAAGATCACTGATGTAAAGAACAACACTCTCGCTGGGTTCTCCAGTCTCGTACAACTGTCTCTAGATTCTAACAGGTTGACAAATGTCAAGAAGACCTGGTTCACAGCTGGCTTGAAAAATCTCCGCTGGCTGACTTTGTCCAACAACTACATCAAACAGATACAGCCTGGGAGCTTCGCCAACCTAACGCGCCTATATGGCTTGAATCTAAAGAACAACCTGTTACAGGTTGTAGACCCTGCCTGGCTCTTTGGACTGAAAGGTCACATGCTCATGAACCTGGGTTTGAATGCAATCAATAGCATCGCACCCGGGTCATTCCGTGACATACAGCTGTACTGGTTAGATCTGAGTGGTACTGATCTGTCATGTTTGGATGAAGATGTTTTCCGGGGACAATCATGGCTCGGAAGGCTCCGTGTCAGCAGTGGCACGCTGTCATCTGTCCATGACGCAAAGCCACATGAAATGACGTGGAGCCTACAGCGGTTCTTCCTTGCCATGAGAGGGTCAGCAGTATTGGCTGTTGTGGTGCCCAGGTTCCACTTCTGTGTCAGCCACAATAGGGTAACCCCTGGATTCTCGTTTTGGTGGATGTTTGACTCATCTGACAGTGTGCCATATAACATTGCACCCACAGCATACGCTTGTGGTATTTTCAAAAGTTCATTGATCTCTATCCAGCCCCCTGTAGTTGTCCTGGCCATTGACGACTCTCTGACAGACAAGCTGGAGACCAACTCGCCTGAGCAGTGCAGGCAGGTGTGGGAATACGATGGAGGCATCGCAATGGAACTAGGTGGAAGTTCATACTTCCGACTGGTTTCCTTGTCCACGGGGAACTCAACCTTTGAAGGTGTTGGCATGTCGTTTGCCCAGACACAAGACACGAACACACTCACCACGACAGAGTCTGGATACGGTCAAACACACACGGCCATCACAAACGCCAACCATGACCATGCAAAGAACATCACCTGCATTCTGCTCACCAAAGATAAACACACAACGTTGTTCTTCACCACTCCCCAGGACCAACTCCAGACACACAAAGCAACCTACAGCACAGAAACTGGCCACTCCGTCAGCCTAACACACTACACTAAACATACAGAGAAATACTATCC